TCTTCATTGATTATTTTAAAGATACTACCTCTACAAAAATAACAATGTATACTGTTTTAACCAAAGAAAGCCTCGAGGGATGTTATTAAAAACTTGTACTCTTTAAGTTTGTTTTTCTCTCCTTGAGTCCGTATGCATTTTTTACAGTTTTTTTTTATATATTATAAAGTTTCCAACTATGCCAAGGGTAGAGTGCCTTCAGCATGGAGCAGGTGGCCACTACGAGCTATGCGGTGATGGAGCACATGCGTGTTCACCAACAGAGTCTGATGGTTATATGACAGCATGCCACTAATTCGTGTTTACCAACACACGCATGTTCACCAACACACGCATGCTCATCAACACACGCAACACAAATATTCGTAAACCAAAAAAAGTGTTAAGTAGCAAAAAAAAAACATCATTGTAGCACATTTGCAATGAGCAATCAATTCATTTTTGAAAACTAAATAAGGTGGAAAAAAGACTACTGTAACCAAAAATATAGGAATTTAATTATCCGAGGCCAAGCGCATACAGGCAATGTTATATATTATGTATTTAAATTACATTCTCTTGAAAGTGGCTTTGGTGGGGAAAAAAGACGCAAGACAATTTTTGGCAAATTATACTAATGCCCATTAGAAAAATGTTACTTCGATGATTGCAAGTGTTACAAATTCACTTTTAAACATTATAATAATTTCGTTTCCTGCCATTCCTTTAACTATAAATTTATTCCAATCATTTAAAAATATTTGCATTCCTTTGCCTTCTGCGTAGATGGTTCCATTTGTAGAACATTATATCTCCAACAATGTCAGAGTGAAAATGGAATTTGTTTTTTGACTTTGGCAAAATAAAAATCTAATCAAATTAAAATGTATGAATTTTAATCGTGGAATGCTGTTCGGGCAGATCTTGAAGGTCGCATGTCTTCTGCACAGCATTTGCAGTATCTGGCAGTCGGTAGAAAACGCCAGCTAAGTTTGGTGACATCAACGGTTTTGGCCATGATGATGTTCAAGAGTGACAAGCCTCCACTCTCGCTCTTAGGGCAAGTCCGCTGAGATGGAGGATCTGCCACCGACAGTGAGGGAAAAAAGTATTTGATCCCCTGCTGATTTTGTACGTTTGCCCACTGACAAAGAAATGGTCAGTCTATAATTTTAATGGTAGGTTTATTTGAACAGTGAGAGACAGAAGAACAACAAAAAAATCCAGAAAAACGCATGTCAAAAATGTTATAAATTGATTTGCATTTTAATGAGGGAAATAAGTATTTGAGCCCCTCTCAATCAGAAAGATTTCTGGCTCCCAGGTGTCTTTTATACAGGTAACGAGCTGAGATTAGGAGCGCACTCTTAAAGGGAGTGCTCCTAATCTCAGCTTGCTACCTGTATAAAAGACACCTGTCCACAGAAGCAATCAATCAATCAGATTCCAAACTCTTCACCATGGCCAAAACCAAAGATCTCTCCAAGGATGTCAGGAACAAGATTGTAGACCTACACAAGGCTGGAATGGGCTACCAGACCATTGCCAAGCAGCTTGGTGAAAAGGTGACAACAGTTGGTGCGATTATTCGCAAATGGAAGAAAAAACTAAATAACTGTCAATCTCCCTGGCCTGGGGATCCATGCAAGATCTCACCTCGTGGAGTTGCAATGATCATGAAAACGGTGAGGAATCAGCCCAGAACTACACGGGAAGATATTGTCAATGATCTCAAGGCAGCTGGGACCATAGTCACCAAGAAAACAATTGGTAACACACTACGCCGTTAAGGACTGAAATCCTGCAGCGCCTACAAGGTCCCCCTGCTCAAGAAAGCACATATACATGCCCGTCTGAGGTTTGCCAATGAACATCTGAATGATTCAGAGGACAACTGGGTGAAAGTGTTGTGGTCAGATGAGACCAAAATGGAGCTCTTTGGCATCAACTCAACTCGCCGTGTTTGGAGAAGGAGGAATGCTGCCTCTGACCCCAAGAACACCATCCCCACCGTCAAACATGGAAGTGGAAACATTATGCTTTGGGGGTGTTTTTCTGCTAAGGGGACAGGACAACTTCACCGCATCAAAGGGACGGTGGACGGGGCCATGTACCGTCAAATCTTGGGTGAGAACCTCCTTCCCTCAGCCAGGGCAATGAAAATGGGTCGTGGATGGGTATTCCAGCATGACAATGACACAAAACACACGGCCAAGGCAACAAAGGAGTGGCTCAAGAAGAAGCACATTAAGGTCCTGGAGTGGCTTAGCCAGTCTCCAGACCTTAATCCCATAAAAAATCTGTGGAGGGAGCTGAAGGTTCGAGTTGCCATACGTCAGCCTCGAAACCTTAATGACTTGGAGAAGATCTGCAAAGAGGAGTGGGACAAAATCCCTCCTGAGATGTGTGCAAACCTGGTGGCCAACTACAAGAAACGTCTGACCTCTGTGATTGCCAATAAGGGTTTTGCCACCAAATACTAAGTTATGTTTTGCAGAGGGGTCAAATACGTATTTCCCTCATTAAAATGCAAATCAATTTATATCATTTTTGACATGCGTTTTTTCTGGATTTTTGTTGTTGTTATTCTGTCTCTCACTGTTCAAATAAACCTACCATTAAAATTATAGACTGATAATTTATTTGTCAGTGGGCAAACGTACAAAATCAGCAGGGGCTCAAATACCTTTTTCCCTCACTGTACCAGGTCTCTCCGCTTTCAATACGAATTGATGAAAACGCTGCCCTTCTGTGAGATATCAACAGGGGCTGAAGCTGAGTAGTAGTACACGCTGTTAGACAGAAGACATAAGTTAATTTACTCATCATTATTAACTTATCTGTTATTACGTATGCATGTATGTTGAACTTCTTTCGCACCGTACATAGCCAACCATGCTAATCAGAGGTACGGAGGAAGGACAAAATAATAAACACAAAAAGCAGTTCCAAAGAAATGTTTTAATTTAGATTTAAATGTGCATAGCTCCAATGGCCTCCTTGTATCGGAAGGAAGAGCGTTCCAGATGGCCGCAGAAGTCCATTCTGAGTATAATCACCTTAAAGTACTTAATTAGTATGGTGCTGAGGAATATTAAAAATAGACAACAGAATGAGGCTGCAATGAACTTGGAAGAAACCGCACAGTTATCTGAGGTGCACACCTGGTTTTAATTAGTTCTGGGCTGACCTGGACCTTGAACTCCAAGTCACATAGAACACTATCTGTGATCGATTATTGTGTGGAGGTCGTAATAGCTCAAGACAATTGCTCAAAAGATCAAATTCTTACTCAATTGTCGCTTGAAGAGACCCTAGATTTACTCATCAGCTTGTTCAGACACCTGTGTACTCTGGTAATATTGATACACTCCGCTGCTCCGAACATGGTTACCTGGCTTGACCACCTGAATGTGAAATTGTAGTTGTTGCTCTGCATCTACATCAGCCACATTAAAGAAGATTTCTGACATGTAAATAATGTAGCATAAGGCTCATGCAGTCACACGTGGCCTTATGGATATAATGCTATCGGAAGCCTGCACCTTATGTGTGTCAGGCTCATCTCTCTCTACCTGTTCACTTTTGGCACAGTGGCACATACTACAATGGTAGCATTTCAGAAGAAAGTGTTGGTGGAACATGTAAATTCGTGAAACATATGCACATGCTAGACAGAGAAGTGGCCAGGGAAAGCAGCAAATGGGATCACGAACCTGTCCTTGTAGACTATTGTTGTCTATCGTTCCCTGGAAGCCTGGTTTTCCTCGAGACACTCTGGTTTCCTCCATGAGCAAAAACACTCAATAAATCAACCAAATTTCTCAATGAAGAACCCTCGTAAAAAAGAGTTGTGAAACTTAATGAACCTTGGCGAAATAATGGCAATATTATTACCTTTGTCTCTATGCAATTTTTACAGTTATCTAGCCTCATAGCATCTGAGGGAGTGCTCAAGGTTCAGCCCCCCTTTCTAAAGTCCTTTCCTTAATTCAAAATATTTTGATACAAGATTAAATACTCGTGGTGGGTGTTTTTTTTTTATTTGACCAGCAAACACTCATGATAATAAAAACAAGGTTTATCATTTAACTTTTTTTTTATTAACTCACTGCTGTGCAACAGTGGGGAGATGTTAACTCTCTCGCCTGGTATACAGGAGGTCATGGGTTCAATCCAGACCCTGACACTTGTATATTTGGAGTTTGCATGTTTTCCCTGTGGTCGCGGGTGTTTCTCCGGGTCCTCCGGGTTTTCCATCTAAATTTAGAAACATGACCGATATACATTTCCACGTGATAAGCCACTTCGTTGAGATATGATTTGTGGCAAAGTCACCTCTGAAAATTAGCTATATAGCTCTGTGGGCCTTACCTGGTAAGACAAAAATACATATGCCTCGCTTATAGGCAAGGTCACATGACAGGGTTGCGGTTATCTCGATATGTTGGTACAGTACATGAGAATACACTGAATATTGTGCAAAATTAAAAGTGTGTAAAAGCTTCGATTAACATTTAGTGACGCTCATATCAATTAGTGAGTGATGGGAGTGTTTGCGACAACCCCTATCAACATTCAGGCCATTTACATTTTTACATACAGAAAATAAAACCTTACACCGAATACTCTATTATTTCCTATGTTCGAGAGCTAAATGCCAATGGCGAGGTCTGCCGGCCACGATGAAAGGGCTTCAGGAAATAGTATGTGCAGTTTTGATATTTCTCCATTGATGGAGCGACGACTACAGTGTTTTACAATGTTCCATACTTTCAGTTGCATGACCACAGTTGCACTCCTGTGTCCTGCAATACATTTTCCATTTTATGCAGGAGATGTGCGCATCGGCCTTACTCTTATTCCACACATGACGTCATATTCAACTCTGCAACGCTCACATGGGACACACACTCTTGGAGTCGCGATGACCATTTCATTAATATCAACCATAGTCACCTCACCGGGGCAATTCTCACATTTTCCAAAGGCTCGTGTTGCTTTGAGGTCCCAATTATCACCTGTTTGAGCACCTGCAGAGTGTGCTGTGCCGTGGTGGTGGAGATGACCACGTTTGACTCCGAGGGACTGGGTCGCAGCGTAAGGGACAGCTCTGAGACCAGCGTCACGTGCAGCCGGCTGATGGACACCTTCTCCTTGCTCACCGTGACCGCGCGTTCCCCCAGAATCAGATCCGACACCGGCGATAGAACCTAGTGTGAGAAATTAGAAAAATAAAATTAACGGTTTCCCCCCATCGGTTAAATTCAGGGCTCGAAATAAAATTGGGGATGCATTGTGGTGTTTATATTTTGGGGAAGGTGAATTTGATTCTGATTGAATGCTTAATCTTGGTTTTCACTTGAACAATTAAATGCATTACACTGCACCACTTTCACAGTGTTAACATTCTCATCATCACCATAAGCCACTCCAGGATGAAGGCCTCTCCATGTTGTCACCATTCCTCACAATCCTATTCTGCCACAATACATCTCACTCCCACACGTGAGCTAAACTTATTGTTCCTTATCTGTGGTGTTTATTCTCGTGGGCACTTTATTTCCTTGGCCTGCAACCTCCATCACAAGTCTGGACCATCGGCCATAATTTCTTCAGACAATGTATCCTGTCTAAACAAGCTTACTCTCTCAAGAGTCAAGATTATTTCTCTGCTTTGCATTTATTCTCCAATCCACGTGCTCCTATTTAATTCCCAGCATGTATCTCTCCATGCTTCTTCGCATATGTTTAATCTTTTGTTAAACATGTTTAGGATGCATAGTTAAACACGTTTTGCAGGCACAAATGCACACACCTATGAAAGGATATGCTCACAGAGACAATCTGCGAGAGGCTCCACAGGTCGAATTTCTCTGTCACCCAGCAACACTGTTATAAATTCATGATATCTAAGTACATCGAGTGCTATAAAGTAAAAGGAAAAAGGCAGACATCATTCATGAAAGGTTAAAAGGTAAGCCATTGTTGTGTGCTGAGGTCATTCCTCAAATCCCAGGTGTCTATCGATCGGCATGAAAATGTGGCCTATTGGTTGGATTAACCCATGGTGCCATCCAATTGAAGGCCTTAAGCCAAAACACTTTTTTGTGTATAACAAAAAACATGCTGTACAAGCCACATAATTTAGTTTATATCACAGTCATGTGAAATTTATTGAGCAAATAGATCCCATCTGTGAAGGATGTGATCCCTGAAATGCAATACCTCGGTGTCTACAAACTAAGCTGTGTCTGCGGCAGTAGTTACATTGGGGAAAATACGAGACATGTCTTGAACCGTGTTCGTGAACATACGACAGATCTGAAACATGGTAGGACCAATACCTCGGCCGTGGCTGATCATTGTTTTAATGCGGTGGGCTCACACGAAATTCATTTCTCTAAGACGAAGGCACTATGCAAACCCACAGGCTATCAACAACGATTCGTTCATGAAGCATATATAGACACAGACACAATTTCAACCGAGAAGATGGGTACAAACTCAGTAATCATTGGAAAGACGTGATTAACCAGTTTAAGTCATAACTGACTGTGATGTTCCCATCCGACCACCTTCCGATATTAGTTGTTATTTTCGGCTCTCTGATTTTTACATTAACAGATTACATTTCTCACACTAACACAGCCACCTCGCACGCCATCCTCGAGGTTGCTGCTCGGTGATCTCCCATTAACATCTCTCACATTAACATGATAATCTCTTACATTAACATGCCAATCTCTTACATTAACATTATAATCTCTCACATTAACATATCCACCTTGGCGCGTTCGCCGTGGAGGATGCTGGGTGATCTGCCATTAACATGCCAATCTCTCACATTAACATATCCACATTGGCCCGCTCGCCATGGAGGATGCTCGGCGATCTTACATTAACATGCTAATTTTTTCCTGGCAGCCCTTTGATTGGAGGAAAACCCACCACCGCCGCAAGTCACTGCCCACCACTTACATTAACACTGGCTGCTGACATTTGGGCTATGCCCATTTCAAACCCTTATAAACAGTTGTCTTTAGAAGCTCAACCCCCTTTTCCTGATGACGACCGCTTGTGTTGCGATCGAAATGTCGTAGTTTTTTGCTATTTATTTGAACCTATCTACGTGACTTTACCGAAATAATGTTTTGTAGTAATGGTATTCAAATGATGTGCCTTTGTTTTATCATGATGATCTAAATTCGAGTTCATTTGTGTTGCACCTCTATTTTCCCATTAATCTGGAAACCCCTTGATCTGCTTGCAGCGCTACACTCTTGCTGATGTTGTTTATTGCTTGTGCCACCACTAGTAGGATGCGAGTCTTACACTTTAAAACGTTTGTTTATGTCGCCATCCCGAGCTGGCCATGCAACCACAATGCAATGCTTGCCACGTGATGCTGAACATGAGTGCCACTAGTTATTGGATGCCAACATATATCTTTACTCGATTAGACCATGCACACACTCAGTAGCTTTATTTACTTGCCAATAGGTAATTTAAAGAGGTTTAAGAAGCGCAGGGGCAAAAAACTTGTTTAACCATTAATAAAGGACATGTTAATTATACAGACACCCTTCGCAGACAAGTCAAATCAACAATGACCCCGACAAGTGTGTGTAAATGATGTGACCCACAAGAGATAAAGCATCCAATTCGCATAATTTGCCCACCTCTTGCATAGTGGGACCTCTTTATGATGTTTCACTTGAATAGTTGGACACAAGACATTGCCATAATTTCTATTGGTGAAATATATTTTTTTTAAAAGGTAAAGGTGCAGCCCTATGATTGGCTGCTCATGCCATTGCAGGCAGAAGGGCCTACGCTCGAGGCAGCACTGATAAGTCCCTCTGGAGGGTGTTTTGCCTTACGCTTCCAGGTGGAAGTACCCACACTTTACCCCATCAAACACAACCTGCTGATCGACTCACCGTGGCGTATCCATTTGCATTGCTCGGTGGACAGAGACGGAGGGATTTTAGAAACACCCCCATTGTTTCAACTGCCGTGCCAGCAGAATGAACCGGCCGACCCTCTGGATTACAATTCCAAGTGTGCTCACAATTGTACACCACGGCGCGCATTGTAATGATGCCTTACTTAAACACAACCTACAGGTCAGCCTGCATTGTTGCTATCTAATATTCTTTCCCCTTCACCTGGATAGCCGTCATCCCTGGCACAAGCCCCACAACGACCTTGCCCCCCACCAACTGGGCGGTCCTGGTGTCCTCCACCACCATGTAGTCCAGCACCAGCTCCGTGACGTCCACCAGCCACTCGGGACTCAGCATTGGCGACTCGTGAGGACCTCTGCCCTCTGCCGGCTCATCGCTGGAGGTGCAGAACATGGTCCAGATGCTCACCAGCGCATGCTGGGACTGCAACATGCAGCCACGGCCCTTGGGCTCATCCTCTTCGTCGCTGCTCTCCTCGGTGCTGAGAGCACATCAGCAAGCGATACATTGTATGCAACTCAAGCGCACATAATGCATTGCCATGAAACTCCAAAGTGGTCTTTAGCGAGTAATGCAATGTTGCAAAATTGTTAGTCGTCTGCCACGTCTCCCTCAAGCTTGATTTTTTTTTTATATATAAATGAGAGCTAAGCAAATGCCATCACGATGTTGCCAACACTTAAGGGGTCTGTTCTGCCCCGCGGCAGATATGGGGGTGTGCTTATACAGGAACGTCCTGATATGATGGTGTTGAGTTTGGTCACGTGACCAGGAAGTTACGCGTTAAGGGTCTCGAAGCCACGAGGCCAGGCAGGGGTGTCAGCCATGACATAGGTTACACGATGGAGGCACAATTAGCGTCTCGGTGAAGACGGGTGCATCTGTTCATTGCGGGACTTTAATAAGCATTGTCCGTAAATTCGTTTATGTTAAATCTTTACTTACAGCTTTCGTGACTGCAATAATTCATATTCTTTGGGTCTTTTGGTAAAGTCACATAGATAGGTTGAAAGAAAATAACAAAAAAAACGACGACGTTTCGATCACAACACAAGCGATTGTCATCTCCTGATGATCGAAACGTCATAGTTTTTTTGTTATTTTCTTTCAACCTATCTATGTGACTTTTCCGAAAGACCTAAAGAATATTCGTTTATGTTCTTATAATACTGGGAATGCTGTCATAATGTTAGGATTGCCGTTATAATGCTGTAAATGCCTTTATAATGCTGTTAAATTGTTACGATGAATATGAGGCTTAGTTCACAACGAAGCTTGCCACTTGCAGTAGTTGGATAAGTCGAGCCAGACTTGTGCCCATGTAACTTTAATGCAATTTTGTGCAGCACTGCACATTTAGGCTGCAGTATGGCGATTACAGTGACCTTATTTAACACAGCTTATTCTCTTGTATGGCTATTCAGTGCTAATGTAGGTGCCTGGTCCATCCAGGACCTATTGTTGAGATTCATGTTATCTAAGACAATCCTATGATGCTCCAGTGTTCATTGTATTGATATTGCAAGTAATAACAGATGTATTTTGTTATGTATTTTTCCATCAATTTTACCTCGTTTCATTCATTAAATACGTTGGAGTCAGATGTTCACCCTGGCTCTGAAGGTTTATTGAATGTGAGGTTAACTACACGGATAGTGGTGCAACGCAGCGCACAGAGAGGCCGAGACGGTCAGCATGAAAATGCAATTCTGCACGTGGTGCTTTCGGTACTGTGATAAATCCTGCTTCACTGTTCAACCTTTAAAGCAAGATGGATACATATCTAAGTTTGTAAATAAATTCCACACGTATTTTGCCTATTCAGAGGACGGATAAAATACATAAAAAATATACGTAAATATACCAATTGATTTACCTTTTCTCGTGAAAAATAGGCACCCTCCAGCCTTTAATAACACTGAGATGAGAGTCAGATAGTTGAATCTGCAGGGGCAGCTGAGGCATCCAGACCGTCATATCCAGGGAGACACGCAGGTGTTCATTGGTGATGATGAGACGTGCCCTGGCTGAGCCTCTGCTCTCCTTGCCATTGACAAATGCCCAGCCACAGTTTTCTGACACCTGCACAGAGAAGATAAGGACCAGGTAAAACAGGTGTGTATATAGGCAGGGTCAGTCAGTAACATGTCTTTCATATTAGAAGGTACCGGTTGCAGGCCCTGTAATTTCTTGTTCACACCACTGTTGGTTAAAACGTGTTTCCGTCAGAGGGTGCTCCCCTCTAAACAGTATCTGGGCTTCCTCTTCCACACTGGCTATATATCTTGAAAGAGTTGGAAGTACTTACACTTTACCCCACCACATGCAACCTGCAGATCAATGAACCGTGGTGTACCAATTTATACTAAAACTGATCAGGCACACTGTGCTATATAGCTCTTTTGCAGATGACCACACATAAATAATTGCAGCGGCTTATATGTGGAAATGTATAGCAGCCAAATACGAGTAACGATGTTCATTCTAAATGTGAAGAAAAAAAACAGGACCCAGAGAAAAATCACGCGACCACGGGGAGAGAGACACGCAAACTCCAAATATACAGGCATCAGGGTCGGGATTGAACTGACAACCTCCCTGTATACCAGGCGAGGTAGTTAACATATCGCCACCATGGCACTCCCACGGTGGGTGGACATACTGGTGGGTGGACAGAGGAGGGAGGAATTAAGAATTGGCGAAATCTGCTGACAATGACACCGCCGCAGCATTGACCTGAATATATATAAAAGAGTAATTTGTGAATGTGTCTGTTCAAAATGTTTAGTATACTTCCCCAACATGCAACAAACTTGAAATTTGGCATGTGGGTAGCTTCCAGACTGTACACAATGTAAAAAGTCTAAAAATAGACTTTTGTATTTTGGGGGGGGGGGGGGGGGGGCGCAAGAATGGATATATTTTGCACGGCAAGTGAGCGGTGACGTCACATCTGTGATGTCACCCGCATGCGGCAGCGTCACGCAGTGTACCTGTTGACGTCACGCACCCCCCCCCCCCAACCCTCCGCGTAGGCCGTGTATTAATCCAAGACAAGAATCCAAGTCCCGGGCGAAGCCGGGTAGGAAAGCTCGTATATAATAAACTCTAGCTAATATGCTTATAGGCTGACTGTTTATCATTACACACGCTGCCTATAGGCTTATACGCTCTGGTCGAGGAAGAGGTATTATGCACATTTCCTACGTCTCAATATTTTGTGGAAAATGTTGCCAAAGGGACTGCTAAAAACCTGAGCAATGGAAATAAACTTAATGCATGTCTCAATATTGATGGAAAAAAAAAATGTCAAAGGTACTTGGCTTAAAACCTGAGGAATGGAACGTTACATCATCCGATTTTTGTACGTGATATATTTTTTTCAGTTATAAGCAAGCCTTTGTCAATGAGTATGGTAATAGTCACTGCCAACATAGAAAATAAGCAGTTGTGTTACTGCTTTTGAGACCATTATGTAAGGAGATACGCAACTATTTCAATAAAACTGGAATTAGTTTAATTCCAAGGATGCATTTGTTTTGATAGAGTGATCATGAAGTGAACATGGAAGGTTTGGATTTGATTGCCTTCCCCTCACATTTGACTTTTGCTTTCTCCCATCACTTTCCTCTCTTAAACCCACATTTTTACTTTGTTCTCTCGATCACTCTACAGTCATCATACAATGAACTCTAAGTTATCTGTAGATATATTATTTCGGTTTCTGGATAAACCATGCTTGAGAGAAAAAAAAGGATAGAAGCAGAAAATATGGTGTTCCACACAAATTAGCGAAGTGCAAATATTAGTTGCGTTTAACTTGTGACTTAAGTGACCAATTACTCCAAAAAACAATAAATACAGATGAGACGCTATCTCTTTCCAGCCCCATTATTCTATGTATGTGAAAAATAACTACGTTTTAATCACTGAACCTATGTGTTTTGCATTGTCGATGTCAGGGTTTCTGAAACTCAGGGTTTCTGAAACTCCAGTCATCGCGACTCAGCAAGCTACGTCTTTCCGCGTCCACCAATTAATTTTTTATTCAAATGCAAATTAACTAATTCCACGCAGCACGTGCCCGATGATTACTAAACACGTGCCGCATGCCTAAGCAATTAATGCAGTTTTGGAAGTGGAAATTCAACATTAATCACTCCAGAGGCGTTTTTACCTAAGTGTTGTCGATGGAAGACACCTTTCTTGTTATATAAAAAAAACTAAAAATTCCCCCTAAATATTGAATTTACAAGTTTTTTTCCAAGACGCCAAAAAGCAATGACTTAATTATATATAGGCATGAGGAATCGTTGTGTCTTTACCATCAATTTTAAATCAGCTGGTGAATTTTAATAATGGCCTGCAGCTTCAGTGGTCTGCTATAAGGTTCTTTGATGTCTAAAACTACTCTAATATGTAGCACGCTTTCTGCAACTATAGCAATCTGCGCGGATATTGCATGTGAAAAGATGCCCACAGTATTTACGCGTATACAGTATGTATAGACAACATCAGAGCTATGTTTTCTGAACTTGCTATTTATATTACTGCAATTATTCAAACGTCTTATGTAAAATGAAAAAAAAAACATTAATTGTCCTTTCCAAATATACGCATCGGTCGGATAACCACTTTGAGCAATGTTTTCTCCGTAACTTATCGATGCCTGTTGGGGGTTAGCAGCTAGAGATACATTTCACCCGAAACCTGAAAGAATTGACTGGCAACAACGCTACGCCACGCAGGGCTGTTCCCCATCACGAGTGGAACGGACGCAGGGACACGACGGGAAGATCACCAGTGACGCGTGCCGACTGTCCTGCGGGTTAACGCGCCGACTGGGCGTGCAATACGGTAGGTAGAAGGCATCACAGCAGGTACATCAAACACGAGTAAAGCACACGAAGTGGCAACGTGTGCAGAAACAGTGAACACTGCTTAGCGAAACATTGAATTATGGTTGGAGAGATAGAGGCACCTTGAGGGTGTAGTGTCAGTTAAATAAACAGAGGTCAAGAGGGATGCATGCAGGTGGATCTGAGACCAACACGCGTCAAGGCACGTGGGAGCAGGGAGCGTCACGAAGTGTTGGTGCAGAGGAGGGGAGAACGGTACAATGGGCAGTGGGGCGGTTGGTAGGCGTGTAACGATGCGTTGTTGCATCTGCAACAATCAATTCTTATGCTCACCGATACGGAACGTGCATAGAATCGCGCTTGTGAATTATATTCTATCTTTACACATGGCAATATGGTCAGGTGCTAAAAGCCATTGCCGAGGTATGGGGGAGGGTAACCTCGCGATGACCCATCTATTTCACGTCTTTTGTGTTACCTTAAACACAATTAATACTGTCATCGAGGTGAAATGGACGTCGTTAATTTGAATCGTGTTTGTGAAGATTAATTAAGATGTATGTATGTTGAACTTCTTTCGCACCGTACGTAGCCAATCATGCTAATCGGAGGTGCGGGATGTGTAGGCAAAGGATATGCTCACGTGAAAATTAAGTGAACAAAACCGCACAAAGTGAAAAGCCAGAAATGTAATTCTTGAATGATATTACAACCTTCAATTGTAACAATTTATCACGGTCCTTCCAGCATAATATCCTTCCATATTCTCTCAGGTCACATCCCATCTAATTATTAATTCCAATTGGCTTGTCCAATATAATCACACAAATACATGCGGAACATTTTTTGAAATAAAAAAGCACTTTAATCAATCCCTTGATAAGTACAAACTTTATCATGACCTGTGGGTGTAAATTGTCTACTAATATACGTTTCTATTGTAATTCATTTTCAAATAAGATTAGAAAATTACGTGCATTTTAATTGACAAAGGAGCATTCAACATTTCAACAAAATGTGACGTGCGTTTATTATAAAGAATGTTCATATTAATTTTGTATGTTTAATATCCAATGTTTACTAAGGGGGCGGAGGAGCATTGGTGCAGTCGATAGTGCATGGGACCATGAACCTTGGCAACTTCCGTTTGATTCCAGGTTACAGATAAACACAAGTGGCAATTGCTATCTGAAGCAGTCCTGTCCCTCCCAACTGACCAGTGTGTTCAAGTATTGTATAACAACTGTCATGCCTGACACGGCACAGGGAGACCTTCATCCACCAGTGGATTGACACAACGATGGTAATTATTCACAGTAAAAAGGTTTATGCCTGCGTAACAATTATGTTGTGGTCATGTGAGTAGCAAATATGATGCATAACCACGTCTCTTGGGAAAGACTGGCTGAGGTAAATGGGGTAGAGGATAATATATCATTCTCGCAGTGCCATTCCGTTAAACCGTTATTGTGCAATTTCTCGACACCATGTTTATTTGTAGTCGTTTATTATGTTTATTTTTTGTTTCAGTTGATGTAATTAATTTTGTATGTTTAATATCCAAAAGACAGTGACTTTACCGAAAGAGCTAAGAATATAAGTTGATGTATGTTTAACATTTCGCCCATTTTGTGCTGAAAATATACCAATACTAGATACCTCTCAAGGATGTTGAACTGATTATATATGAAAGAAAACAAATACACAAATATAATTAGTTTAGAAAATTTCCCAAAAAGTAATTTTAATGCCCTCTTTAAAAAGTGTGTTGTTTGGTTGAGAAAGTATGAAAAGAGTTATATTTTCACAAAACAATGTACTTCATCTCACATTCTTCTGTTCAAATGTCCATAAAATATTTAAAGAAAAAAATCCGCACCCACATTTGCTACTGTTTTACTCTCTGAGCCTAGGGCATTTATAACTGAATTCCACACTTTCTTTGTGTTGAACAAAAAAAAAACCCAACTGCCAGCTGGAATTCAATATTATCATGGTCAAAGGGTCACAGTTTTGTAAGAAGATGGGGCTTCAAAGACAGTGACACAAACTGGCAGGGACTTCACATACATCCTCTAAACTTCCCATTCAAATTTTCTAAGCCAAACTGCATGCCAAATGTGTGCAAGACGCATTTAAACACATTTCTACAATCACAACTACACACTTTAAAAAGCAGACATTCATTCTGGCAGGGACTTCACATACATCCTCTAAACTTCC